CCCCATGCCCACGTGTCCTCACTGCGTGGGGCTAGTCCCCTCCTCAGAGCTACAGGTCACTGCTAGTGCCCCCCCACACCTGGAGGGTCCTGGGGGCTATGTGGTGGGATCGCCCCAGCCAGCCGAGACTGCAGCCGGGGCATTGTTCTCTTTCTTGGAGTTTCCCGCCTTGGCCACCCCCCTCAGTTTGTGAAACCTGCACCCTGGTTGAGTTCACAGCTAAACTTAGCGCCTCCCATTGTTTCACAGGGGCCGTGGGGTTTGGTTAATAACTTCCCCCGATTTTCCTCGGGATGGACTGGAAAGAGCCACAAGCCAGCCAGGCGCATCCTGTGTTTGTGTTTGTGCGGGGAGCTCAGCTGGGAATATCTGATCTGGCCAAGCAGGCCCGGCAGGCGAGACCCACCCAGCCCCGAGGAAGAGAGGCCCAGCAGGGGGCTGGCTGCCCATTGTCCCTCCTGCCCACTCCCCTGTGGGCCTGGAGCCAGGACGACGGACAGGGAGAGAGATGACCAAGTCCCTAGATGAGTTAGTCTAAGGTTTGGCTATCAGTCAGGCAGAAAGAGCTGATAAGTGATTGTGCCAAGCATAAGTCACTACCGTACACAGACAGTGGCCATGCCATGCAGGTGCCTGGCAGGACCATCAGAAGACCCTTCCCCTGCTGAGACCCAGTGTGCAGTGTACAACCCTCAGGGTACAGGGAGGGGTGACCTTGTCCCTGTGTGGCCCCTCACCAGCTCTGGGGGTCCTGGAGCATCTCTGGGTAGTAGGGAATCAAAGGGTATTCCAAGTCTGAGCTGAGACCCAAGGGCAGGTGGGCAGTAGTCTCTGTGCCCTGGGCCTCTGTGCCCCCCTGGGGACTCATCATCAAGCCATAGAGGGGCAAGTGACAGACTGATGGGCAGCCAGAGGACCAAAGTTGTTCCTACCTGTCCACTGGGGGGATTGACTAAAAGCATTGTGCATCCTGACGAGGGGAGCATGCCTGTCCTATAACAGGGCCGAGGGCAAAACCTGAATCCCTATGGCATGGGAAGAGCTGACAAGGGTCAAGGTACCAGCCAAGGTCAAAGAAGAAGTCACAGCCCTTATGGAGGAACATGAGTTTCTACTTGTTAACTCCTTCCTGGATATTTTAATGGTTATCGATCAGTTTTTTAACAAATAGCAAAATGTCTCAATTGCTGGGATGCGTGGCCTCCAAGTAGCCTTAGGCAAAAGCCCTCTGCTATGGGCCAGCAGTGCCCTGAAACAGGTCCCTGCCAAGGTGGGCACCAGGGACTCAGCAGGTAGAGGGGTCAAGGCTTGCTGAAAGATCTCCCAGCCATGAGACATGATGATTCTGTTTGCAGGCAGGCAGCCAGGACCGAGGTTTTGCCGTAAATGAGGAAGTAACATTCCACGAGGGCTTGGCCCTAAGTGTTGCCCAGAGGCAGTGAGCACTGAATCGGGGGCCCTGGGTGAGGTGACCCTCACTCTCCAAATCTTCGCCCATCCATGCCCATAGATGCAGGCTGCCAGGGATCCTCACTCCAAGGCCAGTTTCTCCAGTGGTCACAGCACACGCTCCTCCCCCTTCCCTTTCCCCACTTCCCCACCCCGCTCCCGCACCCTGGGCTCTCCTCAGCAAAGTGGGCTCCTGTGAGTATTTGTTTAGCAGAGGTATGTGGGGTGCCAGCTATAGGCCACCTACCCCAAAGAGTTTGATAACTAGTGCCAGGGCCCAGACACTTGCTCCCCTAAGGCCCATGCTTCTCTTTAGTGAAACCCTCAGGGGCTTTGGACATAATGGAAGCTCTTTCTCTTCAGCTCCTGCTCCAGCTCCCTGGGGCCTGGCACCCATGGATACTCTGCTCTAATGGGGCTGCTCCTGATTTACAAAAGGAAGAAGTGGACATGGGGCTGCTGAGACCCGAATGGCTCCCTCACCCCTTCCCTCTCTTTTGTCACAAAGGCACAAGGCCAGCACGGTCTGGGACTCTGGTCAGCTGGAAATGACTCTGCCTACCAGCTGGAAATGACCAATTCTACACTTCTCTTCTCCTCATGCAAGCCCTTGGCATCTCCAGAGAGCAGAGAGACAGCTCCTTTTGTCAACTTGTCATGTGACATTTATTTGAACATCTGAATATTTTGTTCCTGGGATCTAGTCTTAAAATTAGTTAAAATTAACTAAAGTTAATTCTTTAGTCCAGCCCATGACCTGTGTTTTAACTGGGATTTAAGTAGTGATCTTCGTTTTACAAGACTCCAGAGAGGGCTCAGATGGGAGGCAGCAGACCGTGAGGTGGTTAGTGCTGGATCCCACATGGCTGATTGAGTGGTTCAAATTTCGGTCCCAGTGGTTTGAAAAACACACTTGGTATGTGTGCACGCATGCATGCCCAAAATCCCTAGAGGAGAATGGAGAAGGGATTGTGGCATGGCCATTCCCCTAAGGTGTGATTTCTCACTTTCTCTCTCTCTCTGTCTCTCTCAGATGAACATGTATGCCCTATAGCAAAAACCTAAATAATAGTACTACTACTAGTACTACTAATTTAATTAAATAATAACATTTAAAAATGACATAAACAAGACTCCTTGGGGGTTCCAGAGAAGGATGAGAGCAGGGCTGGCCACAGAATGGTGAAAGAACCCAGCCAAGAAGAGATCTGAATAGACCACTGAAGACCATGGTTGCGATGGCCACCCGAGGTCCTGCTGATGTGCTCAGTCATGCAGGTCATGCAGGCCTCTGGTGCCCGTGAAGCTAGTCCTGCTCTCAGAGACAGGCGATGGCTCAGCTGAGGCCCCTAACCACGCCCCTGTCTTGCGCTAACAGATGTCAGCCATCGAGACCATGACAGAGAAGCGAGAGAGTTTTGCAGCCATGAAGGCTGACTCGGGGAGCTCTCTGCAGCCCCTCCCCCACCACCCCTTCAACTTCCGATCCCCACCCCCAACGCTCTCGGATCCTATCCTCAGAAAGGGCAAGGAGCGATACACATGCAGGTGAGGCCCCACATGCCCCTGGGGTGCTGGTGGGGCGGCTCAAGTGCTACACTGTGCATCCTACTAGGAAGACTGTGCCTGCCCCTTAAGAGTGGGCTGGGCTGAGGCCAAATCCCTGTGGCCTGGGCAGAGCTGGCAAGGGGCCCTAAACCTGTGTTTCCAGAAAAAGCTCATGGTCACAGTCACAGTGAAGCACAGTGATCATCATCTGTCCATGATCTGCTCGAGGTCATCCTTGGACCACCCCCTGCTGCCCGCCAAGCTATGTTCATGCAAGTTCAAGAAAATGCAACCTCTGCCCAGCCCCTCTGAATCTGGAAGGCCCAAGGCCTGGTGTGCTGGTCAATGTTCAGTCTCCACTCTTAGAGAACACAGCATTTGCTGATTTCCACAGCACTGGACCACAGGCTCCCTGACCCTCTTGCCAGCCAGTACAGGCCCGCCCAAGCCTGTTGGAGCCCGCTCTGTCCACCGAGGGGCTGAGATACTGCAATGAAGGAGGCTGGTCTGTCTGTGGTCCATGTTGGGTTGCCCTGTAAAACTGGGTTCTGGGGCTAAAGAAGGTATTGGGGTAGGTGCACCAGTTACCAGGTGTGAGACCTTGGGCAGTAGATACTGCATCCAGAAATGACAGCACCAATCTAACCTCACCCTCCCCACCTCCCTCCACCCCAGGTACTGTGGAAAGATCTTCCCCAGATCAGCCAATCTCACAAGACACCTGAGGACGCACACAGGGGAACAGCCATACAGGTAGGAGCCAGCCCCATTTGGGTGGGGAGCCAGGCTTCTGGTGGGGGCTGTGACTTCACACACCTGCCTCCATGCACTGTCATCGCTACTCCTCTGAGCAAATACACCAGGTTTAGTGCCCTCCTCCAAGGGCCACAGCTACTGCAAGGGCAGCGAGCAGGAACCAGGATCATTCTCTGGGTCTCTGCCTCCTGCCTGCCTCCCACCCCTCCCCACCATCCTGCTTCCTGGGATGGGGCAGAAGGTACTAAGGAAGCTTCCTGAAGGCTCCTCCCTGTTCACAAAAGAAGATGCAAGGCACAGCTCTCCATCTGCCATTGCAATGTCAGTTGGGCCTCAGAAATTAAAGTGGGGCCAACCAGAAGCCAGGACCCTAAGATGCTCTGGGAGAAGGCCTCAGCTTTACTTGCATCTCAGCTTCACCCATACCCCTGGATGGCAGGCCAGGGTGTGGGTGTTAAATAGGAGGATTGGAGCTCCTTGCAAATCTGGGTCCCCATCCCAGGCTTGGGGAATTCTGAGGGATTTGCACAGCCCTGGATGGGAAGCCAGGGGGCTATTCACACCTCTGCCCTCTCCTCTAGCAGCTGCAGAGCACACTGGGATCTGAGAGTCATCTCAGATGACTGGCTTACAGCAGCTTCCCAATGAGGCTGTCATCCCCAGTTCAAAGACAAGGAGCTCCAAGCTCAGAGAGGTCCCATGACATGCCCATGGTAGGAGCCCAAGGCCACCTCAGCTTATGATTCTGGCCCTGGAGAAAGCCAGTTCCTGTTCTCTTTGTCCCTGGAGCCTTGGGAGACAGGTGGCAGGATAGAAGCATGCCCTCACATGCCTAGAACCCTGCCTCGCCTGCCACGTCAGCGACTCCTAGGGAGGGGCCTGGAAGTCCATATTTTAAACAAGGGTCCCAGGCAATTGCAACACGAGCAAATGGGGAAATGCTTATTTCTATGCCAAGACCAGTTTAGAAACCCATTTTGGTGTGTGTCTTGGTAACAGAGGCCACTGGGAATAAAAAATGTTTGGCATGGTGTAAGGTTGATGGCATAAGATTCCTATACTCTAGCCATGCAGAGCTTGGGGTCATCAGGAACTAACTACGGGATGGTATGGGCCCCGGGGACTTGGTTTGTGCCCCCATCTCACAGAAGGCCACATGGGTACCTGCATATGTCACGGCCCTGATTCCCACTCCAAGCATCCCAATTGCCATGGGATCATCCTGGCAGGGTAGCTGACAACTCAGGCTACTGACCAGTTACCCGCTCAGTGCCCGGCTCTCCCCAGTACAGCCCCCAGCCTGCATGCCTGTTCACCCTCCAAAAAAGGGTGACTTACAACTTAACAAAGGCTAGCAACAGGAAGATTTATTTGCTCTGGTCCCCTCCCAGAAAATGAGCCGTGTGTTTTTTCTGTAATGAGAGCCGACTTCTGGACAGTGTTGTGTGCTAAGAGCCCCCAGAGGGTTGGGCTGTGTTTATAGAAGAATTTAATTATCATTGATTTCTTTTGCTCTCTCCAATCTGTGAGTTTCGACTTTGGTAACAATAATTGCTTTGCAAGTTTGTGTTGCAAATCCTGACTTTATCTGGCTCAAGGCAGGTCTGCGCTGAGGGGTTTGGAGCGTGTAACTTTCCTTTGGATACTATTGGTGGTTTCTGGGCTTACTTTGATAATTGGAAGGATTTTAAGTTGAAAGAGGAAAATGCATCGTCTGTCTCCAGAAGCTCATGGTGCCAAGCACAGGCCCCCAGTGGAAGCTCAGTCCCCATGCCTGACTGGGTATGAGCCACACACACGTGTCCACTGTGTGTGTGTGTGTGCATGTGTGCACTCCCTGAAGAGGCCAGGGTAATATAGGCCGCTAGCAAGCAGGGAGACTCAGAGCTTTCCATGAGTTGCCTCAAGTGAGTGGATAATCAAACTAATCACTGGATGTCTCTTCCTTTGAAGGCCTTGCTTCAGACGGTCTAAAATCATTCAGAATGTGTTGCAAAGTCCTGACATGGGAAAAAGAAAGACCCTTTGGTGTGACTAATCCATTTCCTGGAGAAAAAGCAACTCTCCCACCCAACCTAGCCTAGCTGTCCAGTTTCTCTCAACCGAGTGAAGCTGGAAGATGAGGTGGAGTTAATGACACTCTCATTTCTTTAAATCCCATCATATAGGCTGGTGGGATTTGGGTAGAATAGATATAAAAATTGAACTGAGAATGAAGGGTCTTCTTTCTGGCATCCACTCTGGCAGCCATGCTAGGGGGACCCTCCAAGATGCTACCTGGCCAACCAAGAGTCACAGCCTGGATGTGAGTCTTCGGGCAGCCATGGGGCTCCCATGGGACCCGTGAGTCCCATGTGAAGGATGCACTTCTGGTCTGCCTGCTGTAGTATTTCCTTCATCTCCTCCTGGGCTCCTCCTGAGCACCCAAGGAAGGCAGTTTGGTTTTCCTCAGAGGCTACGGGTGGCCTATGCCTGTCCTACTTCTTTTTCAGTTTTATTATTAGGACTTGGTTTCAAGGAGAAAATCTCTTCTTTCTTTTTCTTACCCCACTTTTACAAGTGCCTTGATGAATCTCAGGGAGGATGCTGCTGCTTAAGATTTTTTGTTTGTTTGTTTGTTTTGAGAGGTTTTTGTTACAGGGCGCATGTGCTCACCAGAAAGACAGAGAGAGACAGAAAGTAAGAAATCACCCCCCAGAGGGGATGGCCACACCGCAATCCCTTCTCCTCCATTCTCCTCTCGGGATCTTGGGCACACACGCACACACGCCTGGCGTGAGTTTAAGCCACCAGGTCCAGGACTTGAACTGCAGTCAACTACATGGGAGTTCAATGACATAGCCATTACGCTAACTGCTGGTCCCTGGGATGTGGTGGGGTATTTCTTGGAGAGGTTTTTTTTGTTGCTGTTTTTTTGTTTTTGTTTTGTTTTGGTTTGGTTTTTGTTTTTGTTTTTGTTTTTTTTCTATAGGGAGCATGTGCTCGCCTGAAAGAGAGATAGAAAGCAAGAAATCACCCCCTGGGGGAATAGCCACACTGCAGTCCCTTCTCCATTCTCCTCTCGGGATCTTGGGCACGCACACACATGTGCCCAGTGTGAGTTTAAGCCACCGGGTCCGGGACTCGAACCCCGATAGACTACATGGGAGTTCAGCAACATAGCCTTTATGCTACTGCTGGTCCTGTGGGATGTGGCTTTTGAGTGCTTATGACTAGGGAGCCAAGGGAAAGCATTTTCACCCTCCCTTGCCCCATGCAGTGGTCTCCACCCTCACTGGCCTTCTGAAACAGCCACAGATGCGGCCATAGCAAGGTCCTCTCAAGGCCCTCCATGGTGCGCCATGCCAGGCCCATCTGTGCTCTCCCACTCCGTTTGGAGCTCACTGGCTTGTTATTCTATACAGCATGGCCATAAATTTCACTAGCCACTTGTCAGCTTATTCACAAGGCAAATCCCAGCTGCTGAGAGAACTCTGCTCCCTCCCAGCCCTGGCTCTCTGCTCCCCTCAATTTCAAATGGACTTCTCTGTCTGGGCCATTTATTTAGATTAGAACCAGGAGAGAGGCACATTCCGGACTTTCTGCACCCAAATTGAATACGCAGCCCCCTGCCTGCCCCATCCCTGGCCCCAGAACTCGGCACAAAGTCCCTGCCCTCCATTCCTATGAACAAGCTCCTTCTCCTTCTCTAATCCCATTTCTCACGTGCGATTCCCATCATTCAGAGTTCATGCAAGAGCCAAGAGGTAGACTTCGTCAAAGGGTCCCTATATTACCTGAGGAGCTAGGACCTGAAAGAGCTGTGTGTCTGAGTATGCATAGACAGACAGACAGACAGACTAGCCAGTGTAACATGCCACACAGTGGGAAGCCCTTTTCTGGGCAGGGGGTGATGCCCAGACCTGGCCAGGCAGGGGCCCATCCTGGTCTCCCATGTACTCTGCACACACCAGACCAAGACCATCCTTCCTGATCAATGAACCCAAAGGGTAGAATGGTCTGGGAGCCTAGTATCACCAGCGGGTCTGTAAGCTCAAGGGCGTTCTAGGGTGTGCACAATGAGATGTAAAATCCCTCCTCTCTGGACTATTACACGTGACACGTCCGATAGGCAGGAACCCAGACATCTCTGACCTGGCAGCTGAGAGGGCTCAGGCTTGCTTGAGCTCTTGATATCTCTCAGGCTGAGAAAAACAAAGCAGCCATTGTCTCCCGTGTGGGCTTCACGGATGGTTAGTACAGGTCTGGCTGCAGGGAAACTGACTGTGACCTAGCACATTGCTCCCTGGGACACCCAGGTGCCCAGAGGCAGCTCAGCTGACCCAAGGAGAAGCAGGGGCCCTGCAGAGAGGCCACAAGCAGTCCCCTTGGGGTGGACAAGCAGAAAAGGCTGAGGGTCACTTAGGAGGAGCGCAGAGACCCTGGATGTGGAAGGCGGACTTAGGTCACGGATGCTCTCTACTGTCTACTGTGCAGGAAGCAGGGTAAGCCTGGGCTCAGGGAATATTTGGAAGCTTCAGGACCTGAAAGAATGATCCCAGAGCAGCACTAGGGGAGCCCTTGGGAGTGGGGTGCAGGGCAGCTATAGCCAAGCCTGGGAGTAGGACTCAGGTGGAATGGAGCCCTTCTAGCAGGGCTGCCTTCTGTTCTCTGGGAGCAAGTTCTGGAACTTCGCAGGTTCTGTTGGGCAACTTGGGAGGCCAGGAGAAACCAGTAGGCTCTGAGTTTCCATAAAGGACAAGATTCCATAAAGCTGCCACCCCGTGGGAAAGTGGGCTCCTGAGCCAGCAGTAACACCCGAGAAGGCGCCGGGGCCACTGCTTCCTGCCCTGGGGAGGCCTCGAGGCCATGCTAACGGTCATCAGATTCCCTGGGCAGGGGCCCTGTGCCAGGCCTCTGCAATGTCCCTCCCCGGGCTGGGCAGAATGATGCCATGAAGGCCACTTTCTCACAACCTCTCCCAGCCTGGCCCTGGTCTAGGAGGCCAGGGCTCCCAGAGTGCCCTCAGGCACGTCCTCATCCATGTGACAAGGGCACATGACCAGCATGCTGCGCTGTAGCTGGCTGCCATCACCACACTGGGACGGGGTGTTGCAGAGCCTGGCCCTCCTGTCGGAATGCAGCTGCCCTATTTAGAACAGCCATGAACTCCCTGCAGGCGCCCATGAACGTCCCAACCCTGTGCCCCCCTGAGAGCCCCTGCACGGGCCCCTGCTTCTGAAATACTCGGGCACCCCAGGCTTGCAGCATTTAACTTGCTGAGTGTCATGCTGTGGAGATGTGGTCGTTTTCAAAATACGAAAACACACAATCGTACCAACAGAATGTCCCAGGGCTTAGTGTCTCTGAGACTTAGATAAGCATCGCGGGAGTTTTGTCAACCAGGTGTGCTTGAGTGTGCGCACACACACATACACACACACATGCATGAGCATTTACAGGTGTGCACCCACACACTGCACACATGCACTCACCCACCCCCACGTGTGCAACTAAAAGCCTTGGAGTCAGGGTTCTTCCCAATGTGGTCTGGCTGGGCTGCCAACCCCAGTGGGAAGACCATCCTGGTTTCGCTTGGACTTGCGCAGTGAGGAGCTGCTCCCTTGCCAGGCGGCACATACATGCCTGCAGGGTTGGAAAGCTTCCTTCTTCAATCATTTCCTCCCCTTAGCGACCGGCTCCCTCCTTGTTTCTGGCCTGATTTTCTTGCTTTCTTGCTGCTTAGTCCACATGTAGCTGAGGCCCCTCAGGTTTAGATCTCCTCTATGAACTGGGGGAAAATAACCCTCCCTTTCCCTGCCTTTGGGGCCCCCAAGAGTAGCTGTGAAGGTCATGCACAGCACAAGGCACCCACCTCTAGGGGGCACCATTCAGGTGGCAATTGCTCCTCATAACAATATTCAGGCAGTCAAGTGCCTTGTTCTGATAAACTTGGGCTGCTGGGATAATACTCTGCCGGCTGCCCCAGCCTCTGGATGAGGCACAGTACAGAGCACAGGCTCACAGCGGCCCTGCCTACTGCGGAGGGGATCTGAAGATACACAAGCTGGCAGTGCCCTAAAGGAGTCAGTGTGGTCTTTGGTGTCTGAATAGGGTAGGCCACCCAACAGATAGCCAGGCTGCGGAGCCCCACCTCAGCTTCAGTAGTTAGCATCCAGAGCAGTCCCCAAGCCCCAGTGAATGGATTGCCGAGTTGATGCCCCAAGTGAGATGGAGCCTCCCCAAGGACCCCAGCCTCTTGAAGATGGGCTGGGGCTAGGCCTTCCCTGTCCCCTGGAGGAAGGTTGCAAGGAGCTGGGTCTGCGCCCCTCTTCAAGAGAAACCTGCAGGAACATCTTTGCATGGTGCAAGGCTGCCCTCTTGAGGCTATCAGGAGCATGTCACCCTCTGGCTGCCAGGTCCACACTATTGGGGGAACCCAGACACCGCAGAGTTAGAGACACTGGTCCCCTGTGGGGGCCAGCCACATCCAGCATACCAGAGTCCTCCGCCAGCTCAGGGCACATTCAAACCCAATCAGCGCAGTAGGGAGGCTGACCACCCGCTTCTTGAAGCAGGGTTTCTTCTAGGGTCAGCTCCCCCCTTATGCCTTAGGTTCTCATGTGGGGAATATCAGTGGAGGGCCCGGGCTTGTCCCCACCACCTGGCCTAGCCTCGTGGTCTCCAGACCCAGTCTCCCTGCCGGCCCTGTCATACGCCAACCATGCAGGGCCAGGGCCTCTGCTGAGGTGCCGTGTGTCCTCCAGGTGTAAGTACTGCGACCGCTCCTTCAGCATCTCCTCCAACCTCCAGCGGCACGTCCGGAACATCCACAACAAGGAGAAGCCGTTCAAGTGCCACTTGTGCAACCGGTGCTTCGGGCAGCAGACCAACCTGGACAGACACCTCAAGAAGCACGAGCACGAGAGCGTGCCAGGTGGGCACCGCAGGCACCAGTGGGTGTGTGCAGGAGGGGACGGAGCACAGGGGAGGGGTCACAGGAGAGGAGGGAGGTGTGAGATGGAGGAGGGAAGGGACACCTGGTGGGGAAAGGGACCCCTTGCTGGTTCAGGGAAGCACCCCAAGCCATTTTCATTGAAGAGAACATTGTGCTCTTGGGGTTTCCCGAGATCCTGGCTCCCTAAGAGCACCCCCCCATTGCTCTGTCTGCGGCTGATACCCCCTGACTGGTTTGCCCGGATGAGGGAGGGGCTCAGCTGAAGGACGCCTCCCCTGATGCTCCCCCATCTGCAGTGAGCCAGCACTCCGGGGTCCTCACGAACCACCTGGGGACCAGCACCTCCTCCCCCACCTCCGAGTCGGACAACCACGCACTTTTAGATGAGAAAGAAGACTCCTATTTCTCTGAAATCAGAAACTTTATTGCCAACAGTGAGATGAACCAAGCGTCCCTGCGAACAGACAAACGGTAAGAAGCCATCCAGGGCCCCAGACGGTTAGGACTGGAGCCACATGGTGCACTCAGAGCACCCACACCTCCTCCCCAGCACCTGCATCCAGGCTCACCAGGGCGGAGGGCGAGGCTCCCCGGCTGCCACTGGGAGGCAGGGCAGCTCTTCCTGCCTGACTCGGTTTCTCACCCCTCACATCAGAGTAGATTGTTAACAGACCTGTGTGCAGAAGCAGCAGGCAAGGGCCCCTGCCACAGTTAGCCGAGCCACTGACACTCAACGACATTGGTTTAATCTGAGACACTAATGGTTTCCAAGTAGGAATGCTGCCCCTTCGCACACACGTATGCATACACAGACACGTGTTCACCTGCCCATATGTGCGCATACATGTTCACACATGTATATGCATATATAAACACACTTGTATGCATATATGTGTGCACATCGGTGTGCATGTCCACATAGACATATGCATGTGTGTCCATATGTACATGCCTGTATCCACATGCATGTAAGTATATACATGTATAAATAGATTTGCATGCACACAGACATGCATGTCCACATATACATAGACACACATACTGCTTTAGCTCATTTTTCCTTGCTAATAACAGACTATCACAGACTGGGTAATTTACAAAAAGTAGTTAAAAAGTAGAAGTTTACTCGTCTCATGGACAAGGGCTGTACCTGGGGAGGGGTTTCTTGCTGCTAGGACTCCATGCAGACTCCCACAGCAGCAAGGGGTGTTCATCAGACGGCAAGAGGGCAAGAGTGCAATCTCTCTCCCTCATACAGCCATCAGGGTTCACTGGTGCCTCCACTCTGATCACCTTATCTAAGCACCTCCCAAAGGCTCCCCTCTCTTCATACCATAGTTGGATTACGTTTCTGTCCTCTTAATACTCTCACAACAGCAACCAATTTCCTTTGAGAGATTTTTGCTATAGGGCAAATGTGCTTGCTGGAGAGACAGAGCACAAGAAACCATCCCTCAGGAGGATGGGCACACCAGAACCCTGTCTCCGTTCTCCTCTCAGATGTTTAGGCATGCACACACATGCACTTGGTGTGTTTCAAGCTGCCAGGTCCAGGAATGGAACCACAGTGGGTCACATGAAAGTCCTGCACTTTAACCACTATGCCACCTGCTGGCCCCAACAGCAACCAATTTCAACACGTGAATTTTGAAGGAACACATTCAAAACGTTGCACATATATACACACATATACCCATACACATGTACACACGTGTACACATGCACACATTGCACCTACACATGCATAGGCATACATGTACACATATGTGAGTGTATGTACATGTATGCCCAGATACATAGACACATGTGTGTATTAATACATACATATATATCCCACAAATAGCAAAATTGAGATTCAGAAATGTTGGGGTCCCAGGGATCAGTGTTGTGCCATTCTCTGTGGGGTCCCTTTCTTCTGGAAAAGATACCTTAGACACCCCAGGAAGAGGTTCTCCTTGTGCCAAAGCTAATGCCAGACCAGCTGGCCAAGAACCAGACCTGCTCCAGCCCCTACGCAGTCTCAGGACATGAGCTTCTAATTCTGCAAAAGGAAAGTGACACCCACAGAAGTGAGTGTTTTGCTTCAGTCCCTCAGCCAGGCCCAGAACCTGGAGGTAGCTCCCGGCCCTTATCACACTGACCACAAGCCAGCTGCAGCTCTGCGACCACTGGGGCTCAGCTCCCCCCCCTCACAGACCCCTGGTGAGGCAGTTCGGAGACACTTGGACTCTGTTTTGGGCCAAGTCAAGGCCTTGTCCAGCCCGAGAAATGATCGCACCTGTCAGTCCTCAGCATCTTCATCTGTCAGAGCCCAGTGGCTTCGAGTTGGGATGCTGGCCATAGGCTGCAGTTCCCAAAGCCTGTCACCCCTCTGCCCCCATGCAGCCCTACCCACTCCGCAGCCCACAGGTGCCCCGGCATCCCTGTCCTTGATCCAGGCATGATCATCTAAGGGAAGATCGGTCCCTGCCACTCAGAGGACACCCTGCTTGAGAGCTGTCCATTGTCTGAGCAGAGCAGCTCTGTCCTCAGAGCAAGCTGCATGTTTCAAACATGAGCGCCTGTGCCAGGCCTTCCCACAGTCTCACCAGAGGCACCGCCTCAGTATTCATGACAATCCCCTACCGGGGCCTTCTCAAGCCCTGAACAAATGCGCATCCTCGCGATGGCAGGACCAAGACCAGGACCAGGTGTGTGTGTGCAATGCAGACGGGTCAGCTCGGTCCTGAGCCACCTGCAGGATGACAAGGCCCTCATGGCCTGAGCCAGAGGAGCAGGGGGCCACACTCCATTCCATGAGACTCACCAGCCAGAGAAGCAGATGGACCTCCAGGCGTGTGTAGTGTAGACAGATCCACACCATCCCCAGCCACAGCTTTGCCATGGACCGTTTCAGCCAGGGCATTCCCATAGGCCTTGCCGCCTCACTGCCTGGGCATGGAGGCAGCACCATCCCTGTCTGATGGTGATGTAGGTGCAAGTGAGGCTTAGTGAAGAAGAGCTGGCTCCAAGTCCCTCAGAAAGCTTATGGCAGAGCTGGGGCTCAAACCCAAGCCGTAGAGTGGCCTGTCCTGCTGAGGCAAGTATCTTAGTGCCAAACTGCCCTTGTCCTAAGGGCCAGGGAGCTTCTTAGGAGGTCCCCTGGCATCTTCGTCCCTAGGCAAGAATTTCGGCAAGGTTGACACTGATCAGCCATTCTGCATGAGGTCGGAGGGACACCAGCAGTTCCATTCTGGGGCAGCGGTAGCGTCAGCTGGCTCTCATTCAGCACCTGTGTCCTCCCCTTCACTTCAAGGAGAATTCAAGGCCTATCAGGCTTCCTGGTCCTCCTAGCCCACGAACTAAGTATGTCCTCCCAAAATGCACCTGTGCCTCTGAAGATGGCGAGGTGATTAAGGAAGTGATTAGGTGGAGGTCATACTGGAGTGGAGTTGGGCCCTGCTCCACTACGACGGGTGTCCTTATAAAAAGGGGACATTTGGGCACAGAGACAAACCCAAGCAGAGCTCTGTGGGGAGATGGAGGCAGACACTAGGTGCTGCTCCTTCAAGCCAAGGAACACCGAGGTTTGGCTGCAGCACTGGGAGCTGGGAGAGAGGCCCGGAACGGTCTCCCTCAGAGTCACAAGGAACCGCGCTGCCCACACCCACACCTTGGTCTCAGGTTCTGCCCCCTCCCCCGCCAAGAACCCTGAGAATGTAAGTTTCTGTGTGTGAGCCACCCGAGCTGTGGGGCTTTAGTACAGAGCCCCAGAAAACTAACCACTTCTGAGCCAGGGCGGCCCTCCCTGCCTGAAGCCAATACCAGTCTGCAGGACCCAGTACTCTACCCCCACTGGCCACCCCCATCGGCAAGTACTTTGCACACTGGGGAGGGGGCTGCAAAGACAAAGAGAACACAGTCTCTGCTCCCAAACAGCAGGGACCATCTGTGACCCTGCCGGGGCCATCGGATGTGATTTACCCCCACATGGCCTCATGGGGACATGAGCTGGGTGCCAGGGTCAGGACTGCCCCCCACCAACAGTGTCTCATCTCGCCCTCAGAGTCAACAGTGAGGGCCACGTTCTCAAGTCACCAAGAGAATGCAGTCCCCAGTGGCCAAACTGATGCTCAAGGTCACCCCACTCCCACCCAGAGCCAGGGCAGGAGGACGTCCCTGCTGAGCGGGTAGACGTGTACCCAGGACGCTCCTGCCAGCCCGCAGCACGGGTGACCTGTGACAAGGAAGCTTCTCGGAACTCAAAACCTATCGGGATTCTGCCCATCCTAGAAGGCAGATCCGGTGTCGTGGTCCGTAACGTTCTCACGTGGAAAACAAGAAATGGAGACACGGAGTCTAGGGAGAGCTGATCAGTCGGAGGGTCCTCCCCAGCCTGGTCCCTGTGACACCGGCAAGTCCTCAACATGGCTCCACTGGAGTCTGGCCACCCAGAGAGTCAGTCACCAACTAGCTTCGTGCCACGAGCAGGAGCCCTGCGCCTCCCCCAGACAGTTAGCGCCGCCCAGTGCAGCCTGCACAGCCCCTGCGGGCTCAGCGAGCACGAGGAGGAGCAGGAGTCTGGGGGCTCTGAACTGAGTAATCAAGGACTCTTGTGCCCTATGTTCCACTCGCCCCCCTGCTGGCACAGGGGCCTCAGTGCCCGTGGGGCCCAGACCACTTCAGCATGGCTGAGTCAAGGACTTCAATGAAGATAAACCAAATGCCAGAGGCACTTCCTCTGTCTTTTTTTGAAAGAATTATTTTTATTTAACTTGATTTATTCATTTTAATTTGACCAGAGAGGGAGAGAGTGAGAGAAAGAGAAAGGGAAAGGGAAAAAGCAAGCCGCCAGGTCTGGGACTTGAACTGTGGTCAGCCACATGGGAGTCCAGTGCCTTTAACCACTATGCCACCTGCCGGACCCTCCAGAGGCACTTTGTAAAAGAAAACAGAACTCCCTCTTTCCATAGGTTTTTGTTTCCCCTTTAATAATGAGGACCCAGAGTGGAAAAGTGTCCAGGCCGCCATGACCCTGAGGAGTCTAGGCTGCAGGACAGAGTCTACCTCTTGAAGCAAACTCATCCAGGCAGGTGGAGACTGCCCAGACTCGGGCCTCTCTCTCCAGAACCCAGATACCAGATGTTTCTGGAGGACTCAGTTCCTTGGCCACTGCACCAGGACCTCAAGTCCTCCCGACTCACCAGGAAGAGCAGGAATTAATCAGCATCACAGTGTCCAGGGCAAGACTGAGTGTGGAAGCCTCTCCTGCCCTAACCCTGTCCAGAGCACAGCACCCCACCCAGCAACAGTGCTGGCCTGCCTTCCCCACCAAGCCAGACACAGCGTCCTCCCTGACACCCACACCTACTCTGAGTCCCTGCATGGCCCTGGTGTCCACTGTGAAATAGGAGGAGCCCTCCTCCTGCTCAGTGACCCTGCCTAGTCCCCTTAGAGCCCTCAGCCCTCCCCTCCTTTGGTCTCCTGTTGTCTCCATCACTTTCACTCTGCAGGGACAGTGGCAGGGCCAAGAGAGGGGACAAGTGGCCCCAGCTCTTTGTTTGCAACCATAGGAAATGTATGCAAGTTGCCTTGGGAAGGGGCCTGGAGAGGCTGCTGGGAGGTGGCAGGGAACTGAAGCCTGTCCCTGGCCTGTAGGCATCTGAGGCATCAGACGCAGCCAACTTCCTCCCGTGTCATTTCAGGCCAGAGATCCAGGACCTAGACAGCAACTCCCAGTGCCCCGGCTTTGCCAGCGAGAAGCCAGAGGACGCAGAAGAGGAGGAGGAAGATGAAGAGGAGGACGATGAGGACAGTCTGGCAGGGAAGTCGCAGGACGACACTGTGTCCCCCACACCTGAGCCCCAGGGCGTCTATGAAGATGAGGAGGATGAGGAGCCTCCCACCTCCCTGGCCGTGGGCTTCGACCATACCCGAAGGTGGGTGCAGACATGAGCTCGGGGATCCAGGCTGAGGGGGACCCGAGCCTTGTGAGGGTGACTTCTCTCTTCAAACCACCCATGCACTGTTCCCTCCAGCCTAGGCTTGCCCTCTCTCCCAGCAGGCGTTTCCTCCTAGGGGCTCCTGCACACAGGCCAGAGTGAGCCTAGGCCAGAGACAAAGGGTTAGGGCTCTCAGTGCCCCCACACACCCGGTGAGGCTTCAGAGGCTGGGAGCAGAGTATAAGAGGGGAAGGCGTTTCTGTGCCAGAGGGCCACAGGAGGTCTCTGGCCCTGCACCCTGCACTCTGCCCTGTGGCCAGGGCAGGGCTGTCCTGCCTCTCATGGGGCTGTGAAGGCAAAGGCTGAGCACCCACAATTTTGGAATTTGTACAGGCCAGAGTAATTTTCCTTGTGTTCCAAATGCTTCCCACCTACTTTGATCCTGTGACCCAAGGACGCCTTTCAGGAATGGCATTTCCTTCCCAGTCCCCAATGCTGCCTCTGGGTCCTGGGAGCGGGAGCCCCAGCCCCTGGGGATGCCCAGAGTCTCAGAGAATGAAGGTCTCCTTCTCAAGCCTCCATCCCAGGACTCATACCCTGCCTGCTGCTCATGGCGCGTGTGCACGCTCTCACCTCCTTCTGTGCCCTCTGTCCTGCATCTGTCTGGCTTCCTGTCGAGGTGTCCCTGTGTCTATGTGTCTGTCTCCTTGTGCATGTGGCTTGTGGAGACACCCTGGTGTGCATGCAGGCACAAAACTGGTCTTGTGGCATCAGAGAGGTGGCCAGAGGCAAGAATGGCTAACCCCAGGTCCCTCCCCCTCTCCTGGTCATTGGTGCAGGTGTATTGAGGAGCAAGAAGGCGGTCTGTTAGCTTTGGAGCCGATGCCGACTTTTGGGAAGGGGCTGGATCTCCGCAGAGCAGCTGAGGAAGCATTTGAAGTTAAAGATGTGCTTAATTCCACCTTAGATTCTGAGACTTTAAAACAGACACTGTACAGGCAGGCTAAGAACCAGGTAGGTACCCGTCAGATCCCTGCCTTTCCTTGTCCCATCTCCACCTGGCTCAGGGGGCAGGCATCTACCCGCCTCCTTACACTCTTGTTCTGTTGCAGTCACCCATGTGTGGGGGAAGCACAGGACCACTGCTCCTATACCCACTGCATCTGTTAGGGAGATGCCACAATGACCGCCACCCTCCTACAAGCCGACATGGACAGGGAGAGGGTGAGGGCAGATGGCCATGAGCTAGACCTTCGCAATGAGGCTCCTGCCAGAGGCGTGCATAGACACTGAGTGTGGGCAGGTCTCCAGCTGCCCAGCCACCTGTACCTCCCTTATTCTCTGATCCCAGTCAGAGTGGCCCACAGCCCAGGCCTCTGTCAAGGAAAGCTCCCAATCACGTGGTCACTGCTTCAAGGCTGGAGCTGTGCCTAGGGTCAGCAAGTGACCTGCCTCCTGTTTCTCCCCAGTCTAGAAGAGCTCGAGTCTTCAGCTCTCTGCAGCTCCCCACGCCCCAGGAGATAGGCCTGCCCTGAGTCTCAGCAAAGCTGTTTGCGTGTCTGTCTTTGTCTTTTACTAATTCTGTCCAGTGTTTACTTGGATGGGACAGGGTGGGCTCCCTGCCGCCTCTGTCCTTAACCTGCACGTTACGCTCTCAGAGGCCCTGGGGTCCTGGTCCCTCCTGCCCTGTGGCTTGGGGAAGAAGGATGGCCTCTGGAATGCGTAGGGCTAGGAAACACTTCGGGATTTTCTAATAATTCTGCTGACTTGGAAATGTTACAGATCCTTTTTCTAGAAGGAGCTCCATGGTATCACTGTAGTTGTCAAAAAAGCAACCCCCCAGACCCCTGTGATACTTGTTACCATGGGGAGTCTAAGCAATAACAACTACACCTACCAGTTCCCAGGGACTTCCCAAAGTTTTCACTGATCATGAGGCAGAGAAAATAGAGGGGACGGGGGATAAAGAGGTGTTCGTATGGAGGCACCAAAGAGGTCAAGACAGCCCTGCATCTACAGCCCTGACCCGTGGTCAGGACCTCTACATCTTGGCATCGCTCTGGGTGGGAGGAATGCCCCCCACCCCTTCCTCCTTGCTTTCCCACCAGCTCACATCTTCCTCTTGCAGACTCTGGGCCCCTCTGATCCCCTTGCCCACCCCACCCATAATCTGGCCCAGGGCCAGGCCAAGCCAGGCCAGGGAGCAGTCGGGGGCCTGGAGAGGGCAAGGCTCAGCCTACCTGTCTGGGATGGGCAGGCCTGACCAAGCTACTCATCGACTCTCCTGTGTGTCACCCTTTCCCCGCCAGGCGTATGCAATGATGCTGTCGCTTTCTGAGGACACTCCTCTCCACACCTCCTCCCAGAGCTCTCTGGACGCTTGGTTGAACATCACGGGAGCCACGTCGGAGTCCGGAGCCTTCAACCCCATCAACCACCTCTGATGGCCAGGAGGCCCCGGGGTCAGAGTCAGAGGAGGGCAGGAGGGCACCAGCTGCAGAAGATGGAGGCCAGGGCCAGGGCCAGGAGAAGCCCCTTGCCACCTGCGTTTGGCCACTCCTCAGCATCTCTCCCTCACCTGCCATGGTTCAAGTCTAACTTTTCCAATGAGAACTCAGAACCCAAAAGTTCCTAAAACAGCCATAGAGTTTCACCATCTCTAAGAATTGGTCTTGAGGACACCATATCGCACACGGCTGGCAGGCTGTCCAAGCACAGCTCGGGGGGAGCTGCCTCACGGGATCCACCCAGTGGACGAGGGCGGAAGCGTAACCCAAAACTGCAGCTGACGGGCCGCCTCCTCACCTGCAGGATATCTAGCAAGGGAGTGGATAGACACAGTCGCGCTCTAAAGAGAGAGATGGCTCCAATGATTTTTATAATGAAAATTACAAGAATAAGCCTTTTCATAACCGTATTGACTACAGAGTCTATTTAAGCATGTGGTTTTAAAAATAGACAGTATTTTTTAAAAATCAAAAAAAAAAAAGACTTGCAAATTGTTTTTTAAAAGTAATTTTGCATTGCTTTGAAAAGTCAGCTTATTTGCAAACCCAGATCTGCCTGGGAACCAGTGCAGAGCTTGGGTGTGTTCTTTATACTGTAGATAATGGAGAAATTTTCTATCTCTGACCCTGTTTGTACAAGCCAAGGTGATTCTGGGTGCCCCCGAGGCAGAGCAAGGGGCGTGGGGCCACTCCTCTGAACAGTGTGCAGACTGTCCTGAGGGATCCTTAGACATGGTGCCCTGGACTGCAGGTTGCTTGAGGCTGGGCCTGGGAGGCATGCCTGCCATGTGTGACATGTCATTCATGCCAGAGCCCCCATGCAGTCTCCAGAAGAATCTGCAGGCCCCCACTCAAGACCCCCCAATTGTATGGGGAAGTCGGAGGCCGGTGACTCAGGTCCTCCATGCAAAGGTGTGGCCAGGCACTGATGTTCCTTCTCTCCTCAGCCTCCCCTGTGGCAGCCCCTCCTGCCATTCTGAGAGCAGGGCCTGTGGCCACATCTGGGTCTCCAGCCTCCTGTTCTCACTGACCCCTGGCAGCACCAATGCCCTCCTGTGGCTGCCATGGGAAAGTGCTCCGCAGCTCACTGCCCCCGGCCGCCAAGCTCGACCTGTGCCTAAGACTCTGGATCTATGATGCCATCGCCACTTCGGCTCTTTGCGCAGGTTCTTGGCAAGACATGGCTCAAGAACAGAAGGTGACCACCAGGAAACCGCCACAAAGAGCAGAGACAGCACAGCCCCCGGGGACGGTCGCCTCCCTCCCTTGGGCTGTGCCTACTTCTCCATTCGGATGGGCTTTAAATTATTCCCATAGGGGCCAATTTCAAGTAACTTTTTCCCTGATGGAATTTACCTTAATCTGTATATAACTTGTAATTTTTTCTAATTCATTTCTTTTCTTATTTTATTTCTTCCTTAACAGTATTTTTGGCATTAGACATTCTTATTGTGAAGAAATAATGTTAATATAAGTATATAGTGAAGGACCAAAACCGTGTAATAAGGTTGTGTGTTGTGTGATCGATAACCAGGGAGTGGGGCGATTTTTAATGTGCCAAATACCCCTGCGTCCCCCCCACCGAATCCTGCTGTCACTGCTGCCCACTTACCAGACAATCATATGTTTTTGTTAAATTTGAGTTTCAGTTGCATTTGCATTTAAGACAAGCATTCTATTTATTTCATTTATTGTTTGGAAGAAAAAATAATAGTGTCCCAGCAAGAAGAGGGAAAATAATTGCCCTGTTGCCCTTAAAAAAAAAGAAGAAGAAGATGACAAAGAAGAGCATAAATTCAAACAATCGAGCAAGCCACGCTGGTGTGAACTGGTGTCACGTCATGGACATCTCCTCCGTGTTTGTCCCCGTGGGTGTCAGGAAGTGTCCAAGCGGGCACTTTTCACACACATCCGGGCCACTTCAGGCCAAAGACAATCGTCTCTGTAGGTGCAGGGCGGTCCAGGCGTGCCCTGGGACTCACAACAGGGAGGACCCAGAGGGTGGCACAAGCTATGCATCCCCAGGAAAGGGATTCACCCCTCGCTCAATCAGCACAAAGGGGCAAGACACAGAGCCTTCCTGTGCGTACGCTGAGGCCAGGGCATGCCTGCACAGCCTGGGAAGATGCCTTTGGGCAGCAGGGGAATCAGCATGCTGAAGAGCTGGCCAGGGCCACGTCACCAGTCAAGACCTGCAAATACAGCCACTCACACCACTCAGGAGTGTCTGCAACACCCCCTCGGCCAGAGCCACCAGGTACCGCATAGGAATCTCCAAATTCCCCTTGATCTCGATGGGATCCGCGTCAAAATTCAGCTTCAGATACAAACTCCCCATTTCTGTACATTCAAATTATATGATTTCTTCTGTGAAAGGATAAGATGTGTGCCTTTTTTTTTTTTCCAATATGACTCTAAAATTGGGAAGTTTTGATGGACGGAAACTGAAGTGTATCTTTTTAGTGGTAGCAGAACAGAGAAGGGGGTCCCCTTCCATAACATTTGGGAGTTTCCTGTTAAGCTCTGTCATTTTTGGCTTATCTTCCTAAGCATTCGCTCTTCTCTCGCCATTCTCCTCTTCTCCCCTCCCAAAAACCCTGGTCGCACACTTTTGATATATTTTTGTTCCCCTGAAACTGATGGTAGCAAACCCAGTTTCTCTTAAACATTCAGACCCTTGGGGCCCAGCACTT